GGTTTGAAGCCGGAGGCTCTGGGCCTAGGTTTACCTAAAGGCTCAAGGGATTTAGGGTTTAGGTAGTGCAGAATGGTTATTCTGAGAAGCCCTTTAAAACCATGGATAACTGTCAGGCTTCTATATAATTACGGCTCATGGCTGCTCTGCAGCTCGGACCGTTCTGGTCTCACGAAACACCAGGCCCAGCAATTTAGGGTTTAGGGTTTAGGATTTAGGAAGGTCAACTCCAAAGCTTGCTTCGTAGGCCGTGAGCCTCGGGGCTTCGGACTAAAAACCATGCAGGTTGCTTTGTGGAGTTCTTGTGGCAAAATCCTACAAGTTGCTGTTACAGACCGCTGTGCAACTCAGAGCTCTTTTTTCTTCCGTGAACCCAAGTCTCAACCTTCGAAGCCTAAACCCCAAGCCCCTAACCCCTACCCCTAAGCCGAAACCCTAACAAAAGGACCTGGCCGCCAAGAGGCAGTAGCTGGCTGAACCATGAAGGTTCCTTCAATTCAAGGGGGCCTTTACCTGGTCCTTTCAGGAACCTACAGGCGCTCCTTTAAGCGCTCAATTTGTTGGGACCCTAAACCCAATAAAGGTAGCTTAGAAGGCCCAAGGAGTCCTGTTAAAGGAACCACAATAGACAAGATGCTCCAAGTCTTCATGGTCCAAGGTTGCGGAAATCAGAGGGCCGACGGCAGTGTCCGTCTTCTACCAGGGGCTCACGAAGAACTAAGGGTTTAGGGTTTAGGCTTAAGGCCAAAAGTTTCTAAAATCCAGGGAAGGTGTGACTGGAGGAGCTGCACGCGGTTAGCTTGCACATGCTTGCGCCAAGGTTCTGTTCTATGGCGAAGGCAATTCAAAGGGATCGCAACCGCTCAGGTTGAACAAGTTGAGGTTTATATTAAGGCTCCAAAGCGAACCTCCACAGCCCCAAAAAAGTACCGCTTATCAGGAGAAGCCAAAACTCCAATCAAAGCCCCCCGCCCCGGCAAAGCAAGAAACAAGAGAGACCCTAGACCCTGAACATAGTAATGTTGCCTCTCTTCGGCCTCTGGCTGGAGTTGTAACCATTCCGGCTCCTATTCTAACTAGCAAACCAAAGTAGCCCTGTTCCGTGTTTGGGATTTCCGGCAATGACTGGAAGGACTTGCAGGTGTACCGTTGAGGGGCTCGGGTTTCAAAGCGCAGAAAGTCTACCCTCCAAAACCTAAACCCTGAAACCAACAAGCCCAATCCGAGCGCCTAAAACCCAAACCCCTGGAAACGTACATCTTCCAAAACCTCATAGACTTTTCGCAACACCCCCTGGCGAAGGCCTCCAAGGGCCGATACCACTACAGCAGGCGAGCCCGCCGACCTGCAAAAGTCGCAATAGGATTAGGATTTAGGGTTTAAGGGGGAAGGGTTTAAGGGGGAAGAAATCGATGCCCCACCTAAAGAGCCCTAAACGGGGCTTCTCTCCTACTTAGCAAGGACGAAGCCACCCAGTCTCGGCCTTAAGGCGTAGAGCCCCAAACCCTGCTAAACCCTCCTGGACCCTGAGCCCTAAACCCTAAACTCCTAAACCCAGCTTTTCGGCCATGAACCCTGAAGGTGCGAAGCGCCAACACGAAATCCCAAGCTGCCGCACCCTCGTGGGGTCGGGGCTTCGGGGGTTTAGGGTCGACCCTTTAGGGTTCCAGGTTTGGCGTTCCAGGCCTCGAGGGTTTCGGCACTCACCCTCCTTCAACCCAGACGAGGTTATTGAGAGTCGGATGATGTGAGACAACGTTGAGGAGTAGCCACATAAAGAGCCTTGATATAACTCGGAAGTCATCGAATGCAGCCGCCTCAGGAGTTTAGGGTTTAGTGGTTCCTAGTGTAGTGCTTTGTTCTTGAAGAAAGTAGCTGAATATCGAAACCTTCCCCTTGTTTCTCGACCTGTAAGCCCAATGAAGAACACCCCAAACCTCTACAGACCTTGGCCCACAAGCCGCAGCCTAGGCCCCAAGCCTAATGCCTTCCTAAACCATAAAACCCCCTCCCCAAAGATATCCCTAAACCCGCCAGCCCTCAACCGTGGTAACATCCTTCAGCCCGTTGGCCCTTCTTAAGCTGTGTCGGGAAGACCCTGTAGTCTATGGAGTTTAGGATTCAGGTTCCTGGAGATTCAGGGTAGGGGCTTCAGAGCTTAACATACACCCTGATCCCCCAAATTCTAAGCCTAAGCTAAAGCCTGTAACCACTAGGCCTACGCCCTAAGCCTTGGTGTCGGTGAGCGCAGGGCTGCAAGCTCAGAGGTTGGAAGCCAAAGGCCGCAAAGATCATGAAACGCCGTGCCCTGTGAGTTTCAACCCTGAAGGCCCCAAACCCTTAAACTCCAAATAACTAGAACAGGGCTTTAAGTTTTAATGCACATTGTACTGTAACTATATTCGGGGATATCAGACCCCGAACCCGCATACTTAAATTCTGCGGCTGCCGGTCCTATTTTCCGATGTCATCTCCGGACGGGCATTCGGCCTGTAGACGACTCGACTCCGAGGGGAATCTCACAAGGCAACTTCGACGTTTAGGGGTAGGGTTTAGGGTTTAGGTTTTCGACTCTCACTCTCGCACAAGGCAGGCAAGGCTCCACACATTTAGGGTTCAGGGGGGAACCTCAAAAGGCAACTTCCACGTACCCATCAGCCAGCGCCAGTGAGAACACCCGCCGGCACTCCGATCGGTCACCCTCCAGGCCCAGCTGCAGGAAATCAGGAATCGACCGGCCCTTGGCAAAGTCGGCCGCAGTCCAGTTGCGGCAGTTCCGAATGTCCAGTCTCGCGCCGGCCGCGATGAGAGCTGCGGCACCCTCGAACTGAGCAGAGTTGATTGCTTGCATTAGGGGCGTGCTGCCATGCATGTGGTAAGCAACGGTCGTGAGAACAGTGGTTCGGCCTAAGCGATACTGCAAGGCCTTTGCACCAAGAAGTAGCCGGCCCAGTCGCCTAAAGTCGCGCTGCAGATTGAACTGAAAGTTAATGTCAGCACGTAGACCGATGAGGCGCTGTACCAGCTCTGCAGAACCGCCGCGAGAGCCCGTAGCGGACCAGAGTGCCCGTGAAAGATCCAAGAAGCCCGGGGGGGTTCCCAGCATCTCCTCCAAAGCTGCTCTGGACCCCGAAGAGGCGGCAGCCTCAAAGCTATTGGCACCAATCAAACTTTGGGCCAAGGGATTGCCGCCTACACGACAGAGAAGTCGGATGTCCTCAGCATTGTCAGACATGGCTGCAATGTGCATGGTGCCGCCAGCTACTCCACCCTCAAGGTGGGCCCTCGCAGCAAGAAGCAACTGTGTGGACTCGTGGTGCTTGAAAAAAATCGCCAGACTCAGTGCCGACATCCACACGGGAAAGCCCAGCATCGGCTCGTCCCTCGAAGTCCGGCAGTTCACGTCTGCATGCTGCTCCAGCAGGCCTCTCAACACCTCAGTGTTCCCAGCCAATGCCGCGTAGTGCAGCGGCCGCCACCCGGCGCTGTCGGCATCGCCGACGTTCCTCAAGCCGTTCTGGTGGAGAAACTCTGCTATTACATCCCCGTCACCGTCGCAGCTGGAGAGCATGCCACCCAAAGGCGGAATGTCCAACCCACGTAGATGAACCGTCTGTAGGTTGAAGTGGCGCCGGAATGCAGGGAGGTCCCCCACTCGCAAGCAGTGATTCAGCTTTTGTGCTATGATCTTCCGCAAAACAGGGGCTAGCTTCTGGCGATCGTCCGCAACAGTAAAGTCACCTTCCCCGACAGAGCCAGCCGGAAATGACAGAGCTGTGCCAACAGCTTTCATGGAAGTCTTGCTCTCTATCAAGATCCAGAGGCTGTCCGGCGACAGCTCGCGCGCAGCTCTCTCTAGGCGGCACCACCCACGTCTACTCCAAGTTTTCACGGACAACACGTTGGCCTCGAAGGGACAATCGAGCACCGGGCAGAGCGCCAGAAAAAAGTGGCTCTTGGATACATAGGCTGGGATGCTGTTAATGGCGTTGGCCTGCTGGCTGCCGTCTCCTTCATCGGCTCCGTAAGACTTTCGCTGCTCCAGCTGTGGGCAGGAAAAATAGTCGTACCAGAAAAACAAAGCTTGCGCTTGGAAAGACTTCATGGGGAACGGCTTGGCCGTTCGAACAGCGCTTTCCGTGGTTCCTTCCAGTGAAACAAATCCACGGCCCGTCAGGAGCCGCCGGACAGCACCCTGTAGCGTGTCCATCTGCTTGAAGTCGGGGTCGGGATGGTGCTTGGCAAGCCACTGGTGCGACACGAAGGCTGCCCTCCCGATGTCCTCACTGAAGACCGTGAGCTCGCCGCGTGCCTGCACCGCAATAAGCTAGGGAAGTCCGAATGACAACAGATCAGCCAATCAAGTAGCCCATCCATCGCATCCTGATGGATGGGACAGGGAAGGGCAGGCTGCCACAGTGGAAAAACATGTCGGAGGCTGGCAGGTTGAGGCGAAGACTGCAGATGGGCGAGAGGAGAAGCATGAGGGAACGAGGCAGCCAGCAGCAGAGGTGAATTGTCAAGCTTCGGGAATGAGAGATTAAAGGCTGTGGATGATGTGTCGCTCGGCTTGACTCAGCTTCACTTGTGACACGAGCTTTGGGGGACGAGGTTACCCACCAATAACGTGCAAATCGCTGCCAATCTGAAGACATCCTCTCAGTGCGGCAGAAGCACTGGTGATGGAGATCACTGCACAACGTACAAACCGGCACGGGGCTCTGCTCGTATTATATGCCGCTTGTAGAACACATGCTGTTTAAGTTGCGAGCAGGCATGTTCAAACAAGACGAACTGAATGCAAACCCCGATAAAGACTTGTAATCCAAAAGCTCTCGCTCCTGCCAAATCCATGAAGCTGGAAACAAACGACGACGCAAGACGCTGCTGCCACTAGTGGTTTGAGAGCGGTCGTTGTGCAGAATGCAAAGATACACAATGCTAGAGGGCCCGATACGTTGGGGGGTTTACCAGAGCTCGCGGTTCGTGACGGCACTGGCCTTCAAGTCTTCGTGTGGCTCCACCTTCGTCATCTTCAGTAGAACGCCCGATGCCACGGTGTACATGGGGAAGAGCATCGAAGGAGCCTAAGGAGAAGGGTCCCTCTGCATCCACCGACTCTAAATCTCTGAATCTCCACCCAAGGAACCCCCCATATAGCATAGGTATAGGTAGCCCAAAGAAGAGCCCAAGCAGCTTCGGCTTCATCTCGCAGCGATCTGGCATGGATCTCCAGCGGTGTCCAAGATTTTCCCGAGCCACAGAAGGCCATGGGCTCAGGTGAAACGCAAGAAACTGGGCAGCCTCAGCCCCGAATCCCCACTATCTCTGCACAGCTGCTACAGGCTGCCGCAAAATCTTGGTACCCACAATCACTCTCTGGCCATGACAGGAGAAGAGGCGATATATAAGGTGTGGCTAGGCTGGCCATGTGGCCAGCAATTAATACACTTTCCCTTGTCATCCGATGTTTGAGGCCGACAAAGACCATTCTAGCTCGTGTGGGGCCTGTCATCCGACTGAAATCCCAACATGCTCCGTCCAAATGCACTTGGAGAGCCGGCACGAGTTTCAACCACAGTGTCTTCGAGGAGGGCTGTTGGATTTGAGACACCTAGGCTGGAGTGGTTGAATTTCGCCGGTCCATGAACACGGGTGTCTTCACATCATGTTCTGTTCGTCGAAGATAGAGTTTGGCGCATGGGTTGACATAGACTCGACAGACTCGATCCGAGACGAATCTTCTCAATGTGCCCACGGAGTGCACCTAGGCCTTACGCAGCCGCGCGCAACCAAATGTTCACGGTCGCACTGCGGGGAGACTCTGACTCTTCGTCGAAGCCGATCGAATCTAAACTGTGCAAGTCTCACACATGCGGCACAGCCTCCGTAGGACGCCCGAGAAGCTAAGGTTCTCTACCCTTGACAAAGCTTCTGCTTAGACCTGTAGCTGTGCCGTCAAAGAAAGGATTACGAACAACAAGCCTGGCATTGCAACACCTCGGCCCCTAGAATCCTGGAGCCCTCACTCATCGTCAAAACGGAACTTCCACGTACCCATCAGCCAGCGCCAGTGAGAACACCCGCCGGCACTCCGATCGGTCACCCTCCAGGCCCAGCTGCAGGAAATCAGGAATCGACCGGCCCTTGGCAAAGTCGGCCGCAGTCCAGTTGCGGCAGTTCCGAATGTCCAGCTTAGCGCCGGCCGCGATGAGAGCTGCGGCACCCTCGAACTGAGAAGAATTGATAAAGTGCATCAGCGGCGTGCTGCCATCCATGTGGTAAGCAACGGTCGCCAGAACAGTGGTTCGGCCCATCTGATACTCCAAAGACTTTAAACCAAGAAACAGCCGGTTCAGTCTCCTGAAGTCGCGTCGCAAGTTGACTTGAAAGTTGATATCAGCCCGAAGGCCGATCAGGCGGTGTACCAGTTCCGCAGAACCACCCCGAGAGGCTGCAGCGAACCAGAGTGCTCGGGAAAGACTCAGCGAACCCGGGCAGGCCTGTAGCATCAGCTCCTCCAGGGCTCCTGTGGCTCCCGAAGAGGTCGCAGCCTCAAAGCTGCTGATACCAAGCAAGCTTTGGCCCAGGGGCTTGCCACCCGCTTGACACAGCAATCGGATGCCCTGGACATTGTCAGAAGAGGCTGCAAAGTTCAGGCTGGGGGCCAGTCCGCCCTCAAGGTGGGCCCTCGCCGTCAGAAGCAACTGCGTGGCCTCGTGGTGCTTGAAGAAAGTCGCCAAGTCCAGCGCCGACATCCAAATCGGAAAGCCCAACATCGGCTCGTCCTTCGACGTCCGCCAATTCACATCTGCACGCTGCTCCAGCAGGCCTCGCAACACTGCGAGATTCCCAGCCAGCGCCGCATAGTGCAGTGGTCGCCACCCTGCGCTGTCAGCCTCGCGGACGTTCCTCAATCCGTTCTGGTGCAGAAACTCTGTTACTACATTACCATCGCCCTCGCAGCTGGAGAGCATGCCACCCACTGGTGGGATCTCCAGCCCACGCAGATGAACTGTCTGCAGGTTGAAATGGCGCCGGAATGCAGGGAGGTCGCCCATCCGCAAGCAGTGGTTCAGCTTGTGCATAAGGATCTTCCGCAAAACAGGGGCCACCTTCTGGCGATCGTCCTCGATCGTGAAATCGCCTTCCCCGACGGGGCCAGTCGGAAAGGAGAGTGCTGTGCCGACGGTTTGAATCGACGTCTCGCTCTCTATCAGAATCCAGATTTTTTCTGGTGACAGCTCGCGTGCAGCTCTTTCTAGGCGGCACCAGGCTCTTGAACTCCAACTTTCCACGGACAACACCTTGGCCTCCAAGGGACAATCGAGTACAGGGCAGAGCGCCAGAAAAAAGTGGCTCCTTGCTACATAGGCTGGGATGCTGCCAATTGCGTGGGCCTGCTGGCTGCCGTCTCCTCCATCATTGTGCTGCCTCCGCTGTGGGCATGAGAAATAGTCGTACCAGAAAAAGAGCGCCTCCACCTGAAAGGAATCCATCGGGAACGGCTTGGCCGTTCGCACAATGCTTTCCGTGGTTCCGTCCAGTGAAACACATCCACGGCCCCTCAGGAGCTGCCGGACAGCACCCTGTAGCGTGTGCATCTGCTTGAAGTCGGGGTCGGGGTGGTGCTTGGCAAGCCACTGGTGCGACACGAAGGCTGCCCTCCCGATGTACTCACTGAAGACGGTGAGCTCGCCCCGTGCCTGCACCGCAGTCAGCAAAGCAAGACCGAGACACACGACAACTGACCTATCCATCCCGACGATCGAGGGCACGGCGGAGAATGCTGAAGGGGGGCACTCCAAAGAAGCGACTGGCTAACTACACTGCGGCCAGATGACAAACATCAAGGCATGCACCTGCAACTGCAGAGGTTAATATAGAGAGTCTAGGATCGGGAGCGGACACCCGTGTGCTCCACAAGCGATGTGCCATCGACCAAGCCATCAGGATCCATTAGAACTCGGACGGCCTAGTGCTAGAAGCATCGTGGTGAGATGTGTGTGTGCAGGGAAGAGCAAGGAGAACTGTCAAGGGCTCATGACCGTCGCTGGCTCGTGAAGTGACTAAACTGGCCTTCAGGTCCTCCACAGGCCAGACGTGGGCAGCATTCATGCCAAGCTGTGAAACACATCTGTACCGTCTTTACGAGCAGGCACCCCGCCACACCTTAACATACCGGATGTCTCGGATTTCCTGTGGAAATCGGAGACAAACGATCCCGGCAGCGCTGCAGCAGAGGTGCACAGAACCAGAATGAGAGACAGGACCCATGAGCCCGATATGGCAGGGACTTCATGGAATTCTTGGCACCACCGGCCTTCAACTCCTCGTGTGGCTCCACCTTCGTCATCTTCAGCAGAATCTCCGATGCCACGGTGTACATGGGGAAGAGCATCGAAGCAGCCTAACACCAACTCTAAAACTCGAAATCTCCAAAATAAAGAGTCTCAAACCACTTCAAGCCCGAAGGCACCCCAGGCGATGCCAATTCCCGGAAAGAGCTTGAGCCCACCAACTTGCTGCACTCTGACTGCCCAGGTCGAAGGATGAGATCAAACAGGTCAAAGCAGTGGCCTCACCCAAGGTGTTCCTGTCTCTACCTGCGCCTATCCCCGACACGACATGTGCCCCTAGGCGTAGGTTATGAAGCCCAGTGGCATCTGCTTCATCTGGCAACGATCTGGCATGGATCTCCAACGGTGTCCGGAATTTCCCCGAAGCACAGCAGGCCATGGAGATCTGAAACTGCAAATTGGGAGCCCAACCCCTGAATCCAAAGTGCTCGCAAGCCATTCCAATTCTGCACTTCTTTTGCTGCGATATCCAAACCTTACTGGGTGCCGTCGGTATAGCCACTGCTGGCTAGCTCTCAGTGTTATTGCTACTGTTGCCACTGTGGTCAACATGCCTCCGATGTCAGACACCATTCCTGATCTTATCCGTTCGCTCATACTATAGACAGGGTATGCTGCATGTTGAGCCTGCTGTTGGAGCCCGAAACGGCTATGCCCCGAAAGACATTTGGCTCAGAGGAGGACTGAACATGGGTGTTTTAGGTTGGGCGAGTGTAAGCATTCCCGGAATAGATATCTTGAGAATCGTCGAATCGTCGACATCCAATTTCAAAGACTCAAAATGCTTCAAGCAGGTCTCGACTTATTCGGCTACGAACTCGTGTCCAGCAAGCTTCGCGCCTGCAGGTCCTCGTTCTTAGGCGCAAACCATTGCCCTGCCACTCGCAGTAATACAGTAAGAACTGAGGCGCTCAGCGGGTGCTCGAAGAGGTTTGGAAGTGCATCTTGTTGCCTAGATTCATACTTTCATACATGCAGTTGTAGTTTGCCTCGAGCTCCAAATGCCAAGCTTAGCGGGGCCAAGCTTCCAGGGCGCAAGCACTCGTTGCCTGTCGCAGTCTCGTCGCATTTGGAGAAACGCCACTCGTCTTTGCTCCACTCCTGCAAGCAGAGTCCTGCACACGAGCCCGGATGGAGGTGCTCGGCCCTGGGTCTCAGGGGCTAGCAGCTACCAATCACGTCAACTCCAGGGAGGTAAGTCGTTGCAATTCCAGGTGTTGGCTCTAGGCCGTATCCATGCAAGTCGATGCTTTGTACGCATTGGTCAAGAATGAGGGGATGTGTACCTGCAGAAGGCTTCCACCCACGACCGGCGCCTAGAACCTCACCATCCTGCTGCACCCTGCTTCACTATGGGTGAGCCTTCTATGCGGGAGCCTTGTCGTGCCCAGCACCGAACGACTAGTTAATAGAACTTGAAGTCGGCGTCGGGTTTGCCATTATAGAACCTACCATAATATAGTACCATACTATAACATAACTTATAACATAGAAACTTATGTGATGTTGTATACCATGCCACTATATCCTGGTACTGCTGAAACCTCATTTAGCCCGAGTCCTGATGACTCCTCCTGCAGCGTGAAGACCTGCAGCTGCGCACTATGAGGGCCTTAATAATTAGAATACTGCTTGGGGTATATTATACTAGACTTATAATAACAATATAATAATAATAATACAAATAATAATAATCATCATCATCATAATAATAATAATCATAATAATCCTAATAATAACAATAATCATAATAATCATAATAATAATAATATTATTATTATTAGTAATAATAATAATAATCATAAAAAGGAACCCGCAAAATAGTGTAGGTAATTATTAAGGCACCTATATTAGTTTCAGGGTTTCGGCGCTCGCACTCGGACACTCCAGGCGAGGCATGTGGTTCGAGGTCTGGTTGATGTGAAAAGCAAAGCAAGAGCAGGCATCATCCACAACCCCAACTAAAGTTTCAGGGCTGAGGAGCTCCCCAAACTCAAAAAAAACAAAGGGATATTTTTTGCCGGGCCGACGTCACACCGCCGTTTGGTGGTGACTGTGACTAGCTTGCCTTGCAGATGGTGAGGATGTCTTACCAGCAGGAAGGAGGAGGCATTTTACATGTCGAATATTGGGCCGCGTTCACAAGCACATTTTTTCACAAGGGACTCGACTGCTGCCCTTACCGACAGGCACATAAAGTCTTGAATAAAATATTCGCCAGCCAGTAGCTCCCCATCGACCAGACTCTCGCTGGCCTCGGTTCTATGGAGCTTTCTCAGTTCGAAAAGCCCGAAACGGGCTGCGGATCCTCTCAAGTTTGACCTGGGCATCCCTGGTGCCTCGCCTGCTGGACCTGCATAGGGTACCAGTGCCCTTTGTACACCTGGACCATGCATATGCCAGGAACCAGTGCCCTAAACCCTAAACCCTAGACCCTAATAGGGTACCAGAACCCTAAACCCTAAACCCTAGACCCTAGGCCCTAAACCCTAAACCCGAACCCCTAGACCCTAAACCCTAAACCCTAACCCCTAGACCCTAGACCCTAAACCCTAATCGGGTACCGGTGCCCTCCGCACCTCCTTTGGAAGCAGACCCAGGATCTCCAGGGGAGTCCGCCGCAGCTCCTGTCCCACATCGCTCTTAAGGAGTTTAGCCTTGGGTTTAGGGTTTAGGGTTCAGGGTTCAGGGTTTAGGGTTTAGGGTTTAGGGTTTAGGGTTTAGGGTTTAGGGTTTAGGTTTAGGCTTGGTTTAGGGCCTTAGTGCCTTGCTTGGCATAACAGTTTGAGCAGCCTTACCTGCAGGATAGAAATCATGCCTCTAAAGTTCCAAGGGTGGCACCCGGGATCGAAGCCATCCACCCGAAACGAAAAGCCGGATCAGCCGATCGAGAAAACTCAGCTGCAGGCTTCCCACTAGGGTCACGAGCGCTGTCTCTGTCTAAGGACTGGGTGCTGGTGCGGAGGTGTTTCGAGCTAGACTTGTTGCATCTTGTTGCTATTAGACACGTCAAGGGTCATACGTGTCACGGAACCGCATCATGAATGAAGGCGAGATTGGTGGATTACGTCTTGACATGGTGTCATGAAGCCTGCCTCCAGCTACCCCAGCAAAAGACACGAACAGGTTGCAAGCGAGCTGCCAGAAAGCTGCCCAAGCCTGGCAGATTGACCGGACTTTTGCATCGAGACCATCAATAAAAGCGGCTGCCTAATATAGGGGCCTTCATAATTAGAATATAGGGTTTGGCGGTATACATTATGCTATACGAAAAAAGGAACCACCGAAAGTACCATAGGTCATGTTTATTATAATGTTAAGGTATATGCGTTAATTAAGGGATATTGGAGTCTCTACATTACGAAACAGGATGTGCCCGGCCTGCGCACTGGAGCCGCGCCTTTCCAGAGTCACCCAAGAGATCCCGGCTGTCAATGGGATACGGTGGATGATATACATCCTGCATTTTCCCCTAATAAGGAATATACCATAATTCCCATAGCTTAGGGTCCTCAAGGTAGTGCAGGATTTATATCATCAACAGTAGTGCTTTGGGGTAACAACCGCTGTAAAGACAGGTACATGTGAATCTGTACGTATACAGGCTGTGCACGTGCTTTGGGGTATATTCGGGGTATATAGTATTCTACAGATAGAATAAGCATCCCTGAGCAATAGTATTCCTGCTTATTCAGCTTCTATCTTAGGACCACCTTGCGATCGCAAAAGCCCAAAACCGAGCTCCCTGCTTCCTGAGTGCCCATTACTTGAATCACAAGAACTGACTATAGTCGAGTCAAGAGATACGAGTAGCAGACTGAAACCTTCCGGCATGCTTTAGGGCTTAAGGTTTAGGGTTTTGACACTCACACTCAGGTTTAAGGCTTCGGGTTATCTGTCTTGCCGAAGACGGAGCCCTTGACGAGAAGAACCAAACCAGGTTGAAACCTCGACGCCAAGATCCAAAGCCTTGACTAGCCAGAACCCCCAGCCGAAATCTTAACTACGAAACGCCAATGATGCGGAACAGCGAAAGAGATAGGTCAGAATCTGAAGAATGGTGCACAATAAGCAGACAAAGCTGTACAGTACAGATTTGGGAAAACTATAAGAGTAAAGAGTGTTTGTCCATAGGTTCAGCGCTCTATCTATCTATCTATCCATCTATCTATCCATCTATCCATCCATCTATCCATCTATCGATATCTCCCTATCTCTCTATCTCTATCTATATCTATACCTATTTGTGTAACTACATATATATATATATATATAAGTATATATTGGTATATGTTCTCGTTCCTGTACATATATGTATGCATGTATGTATGATGGTATGTATGTTTGTACGTATGAATGTATGTACATCTACACGGATACACTATCATACTCGTCAGCATAAATGTGAGAATACACATTACAAGCAGTAAGCAAGACGAAGATTCGTCCACGCCTGAAGCGCTCTGGTCTCAGACACGTCTTCCACCACGCGGATGCCGGTGGCGAAGTCTGCAAACCGTGGGTGCTTGAGCGCCTGGCGGCATGTTGCTGCTGCTTAAACCGCTGAGCCCGCCAACACAGGTCAGGTTGAGGGTTCGGCTTGTTCCGGCTAGCTGTGCAGTATTACGGTGTGACGAACTACCACAGCAAGGCTCCAATCCGAACCACGCCAAGAGCAAAAGATATTGCAAGAAACATATCGCAGATTCTGCCTTTCCCGAGCTGGGGAGGTAGCCATTGCTCAGCTGCGACTTGTTTTCATCGTGAGCACTGCATGGAGTTTCTTTCGTGTGCAAAAGAAGTATTTCATCACTTTAGGCAAACCGTTCTACTTGAAGTGTACTTCTTATCCGGATGGGCTAGGAACTACCTCGATGCCGGTCATTAACAACCATGACTGCTGCTATATAGTAATATATGTATGGTAACATAGTAGTATGAGTGTATGCTTCTGTATTGCAAGCACCGGCAACCTGATTGTCACACAGCCACATGAGCCCTACTCAAGGCCTATCTCCGCCTGCTAAAGCCTAAACCCGTAAACCCTAACTTTTAAACCCACACCCTTTAACTGACCCCAAACCCCTAGAAACTTAAACCATTTATATAACCCCTGAAACGTTCAGCCCTAAACCTTCCACGCCTCGGGAGCCCACTGGCCGAACCAGGCGTCGATGATCCGCGCCTCGTCCGTGCCGGGTCGCCGGATTAAGAACGAGGCTCTCGTCTCAAGGCCTACCCGCGGGGCCTTAATGATTACAATCGGGTCTGGGGGTTCTTTATGGTATAATGACAATAAGGGTTCCTCTGGATCCCATAATCTACTGTCTTATCTACAACTTTGAGGCCATAGCCTACCGTCGAATAGGGCTTGGGGCGAAAAGTAAATGCCAAGTTGCATAGAGATTGTGCCGGGATCCACTGAGGCTCGCTTCTTGTAGGGCTGATGAACATGACGACATGCTCAGAAGTTACTTACCTATATATATATATATATAGAGA